ACCACTGTGTCCCCCAGGTGAGCCTGCACCACTGTGTCCCCCAGTGCTGGCTGCTGTGAGGTGCTGACTGCTCTGTGTAGCCGATGCATGCTTCAATATTCACCTACAGCCCAGTAGCAAGGTAGCATGGGGCAACTTCACCCTGCCACCAGTAGAATCCTGAGTATATTGGGGCACTGGCATCTTGCTAAACCCTCAAGGGAGACAACACTAAGGAAGAAATGTGAAGTAAACTACAAAGGTGGGTGTTTTTATGTCCTCTACCCCTCTCCTAGAACCAGTACAACTGTGCCAGTCCCCAGCTCACCAGCTCTGAACCCAATCATTTCATTCAAGTATGGCTTTACTTGGTGACAATAGCCATAGCTAAGTTAGCATGTTTGCTTTGGACAGTAACAAAAATGGGTTTGGATTTTTGTTTTATTTCTTTAAAAGTATACAATGTCAGAACTTTGCATTTTATATACTAGTATCTGGCTATTATTTTACAGGAAACACAGTTCTTGGTCTCACACACACATTTGCAAATTTTAACAAAACTGAGTGCTGTTTCAACATTATAATCACTTTTAGTTATTGTAATTAATATGAATATCATGTTTTTTCAAATAAGTTCTGAGGCTAGACAGTGTTTGCTTTGTGAGCACAGATATTGTATATAACCTGTATAGTTACACTGTATTGAAATATTAGCTTGTTTGATATAAGAAAAGTATGTACTGAATGCCTTTTTGCTAGCCTGATTGTTTAATCTTTTTAAAAAAAGGTTTAATCGGACTTTTTTTTTAAAAAAGTCTTTAAACTGGGCTGGGGAGATGGCTCAGTGGAATAAGCACTTCCCTGGCAAGCACAATCCCTGGTTCCACCAAAAAAAAAAAAAAAAAGTATTTAAACTGACCTTTATTACATGGCCACAATGTTGAAGTTGGCAGCGACAGGCAGGGAAAAGCCAGTCCTGAGTGATGGGGGTAGAAACGTGAGACTGAGACTTGTTTTTGTCTTGTCTTCTCCTTATTAAAATACCTTATTAATGCTTTGTAGAAAAAATATAAGGCACAATGTTGAGAGAAGCTCAAGCATCACTTAAATATAAGACACACAAAGGAGAAAGGCAAGGCTTATGATTTCTTTTTTATTTGATATTTCAAATATACAAATCACTGTAGAAAAGTTAAGTATTACAGATAAAAACAGAAGTATTGCTGCCACCCTCAACATTCCACATGCTTGGCTCTTTCTCTGCTCATCATCCCTCTAGCTAAAAAATAAAGGTAGAAGCACATAGGAAGCAGTGGGGCAGGCAGTAGTGACTAGCAAGGGAGCCACGGCCACAAGTGTAGGTGGAACTATGTTGTCCTTCCCAGACACCATGCCAAGGGACTGCATCTGAGTGTCCTTCCCAGCTGCAGTGACTGTTGCTTGCAAGTAGAGGCTCTCAGCACCCCATGCATTCTCTAGAGATTTATCCTCAACCCACTGAGAGCTGCCCTCCCCCCTAGAAACTTACATCCTTGCTGTGGACTGCACTGTGTCCCCAAAATTCATATGTCAAAGCTCCCTAATACTGTAACAGGAAATGGGACCTTTGGGAGGTAATTATGTTTAAAAAGGTCCTGAGGTAGGGCCCTGATGAGGGGCTTAGTGTCTCTACAAGAGACTTGCTCAATCTCTCCATCTCATGAGGACCCGGAGGAGATGAGAGAGCCTTCACAGAGGAATCAAATCATCCAGTGCCAATTCTAAACTTCCAGACCCCAGAACTGTGAGAAATAAATTCCTGTTGTTTCAGCCATCCAGTCTATAGTAGTTTGTTACCCCAGCCTGAGCACATTAATCTAGCCCTACTTCTTAGGACAACCCCCAGCAGCCTGGTAGCCTACAGCCCAATGACTGATTGATATGGTAACCAGAGGATTAGCCCCCTTACCTCAAAGCAAAACTAGCTCTGTGTATAAGATCTTGCTTCAGAACTTGCTGTGGGATGAGGCTTAATCTGGCGCTAGTTTATGTATCACCCCTCCTCTGGGGTGTCCCCTGCCTCATCCTGTTGTCCTCATCACATGCACCCCAATCCATGGTGCTGGCAACAGCAAAGGGACAGTGTCAGGAAAGGCAATGTGTGGAATCCAGGCAGAAGCCCCATCAGTGTTCATTCGGTAGTAAACAGAGAAGCTGACATATGAATATAGTGTCGGGTCAGTTTATAATCATAACCTCTATGCAACCCTGACTCTTTAGAAAGTTGAATGTTTTGCCCTAAATAAGGAGCTAGAGGCCCAACTCTGATATAATCTTGTAGATATGTTAATGTATTAATTCGGCAGATCAAGAGAAATTACAGGCACAAGCCAATTACACTGCAATACACACACCAAGATGACAGACGATAGGAAATAAAAGCCATGTTTCAGTAATTCAGTGGTGTTTCTCAGTAAAAGATTAAGCTGTGTTCACCCCAAAGATATCATTCTTTGTTCCTCCTACTACAGCCATTCCCAACTATTTCTTGGAAGCCTCTGTGATCCCAGGAACTATTTAGGAAACCACAAAGTGAAAATACTTTTATAGTCACAGTAGGTTGACCAGTGGTCCCCAAATCACATTACCTTTCATGGCAGATAGGTCTCTGCAGATATGATTAACTTACAGGTCTCCAGAAGGTGAGGCCATACTGGATTATGATACACTCACAAGAGTCCTTAGGACAGGGAAACATTATTACAGTAAAGGAGAAGGCAGTGCAATAACAGAAGCAGATCGGAAAATGAATTTTAATACTGGAAGAAAAGGGCCAAAGCCCAAGAAAACCAGGAGTCACTCAAAGATGAAAAGGGCAAGTAAACAGAATCTCCTCTCAGACTTTCCACAAAAGAGCAGCCCTGCTAACACTTTGATTTTAGGCCCATAAGGCTCACTTCAGACTTCTAATCTCCAGAACTTGAAGAGAACAAAGTTAAATTGGTTAAAGCCACTAAGTTTGTAGTAATTTGTTACAGCAGCTACAGGAAACTAATAGAACAATAAATACCAAGACATCATGCGCCTGTCACACTTGTTCCTGCATAAACATAAGGGGACTTTCCCAGAGATTACAGTGTGTGACATCACAAGACACTGAACACAAACATAGATGGAAGAAGGGATGTCTTCCACTGAGACAAACATTGAGGGGAGTTGCACTCTTTTCACAACATTTACCTTTTCACTTATTTATTTTTTGCTTTTTAATTTCTTATAACTTTTTTGTTGGTGTTGTTTTGCTTTTTAACCAATTTTTCAGGTTTATATCTGGTAACCTAAACAACTACAGTAATTTGAAGATAGCACCATGCAATACAGCAACCACTGTTGAATTCCTATCACTATGCTTAATGAAATTTTGTATCATTTCTCATGCCTTTTCTTACTATTTTTTTTTATTTTTTATTTATTTATGTGTGTGTGTGTGTGTGTGTGTGTGTGTGTGTGGCCAGCTCAGCCCACCAGGGGGCGGGGCGGGCTGGCCTGTGGTGCTGGGGGATTGAACCGTGGTCCCTGTGCTTTGCTAAGCTTGTTCTAAGTAGGTGCTTTAGACCACTGAGCCATCTCACCAGCCCCCTATTTTGTATTTTTAAAAAATAAAAAATTGAGGT